AGTCTGAAATGAAAACCCTGACGGCTCGGACCTCCCTAGATTACTTCGGCAAGATCTCAGCCTTCATTCGCAAGCACGACGCTTCGAGCGTCTCCTTGGTCTTCGACAACCGCGGCTCCGAGAGCTTCCAGGGTCACGGATACCACCATCCGCACTCCTACCGTGAAGCTCCCAAAGGCGTGGACCAGTTTCCGGCCGTCGTGTCGCTTCCCGGCGGAGAAAGGCCGGTCACGCATTGGCCCAATGTCATCATGATCATGAGCGACCGCTCAACGGAACTCAACGCTCTGGATAAGGTGGTCCACTTTTATGACGATAAAGTCCAGAGCACCTACTTCCTCACACGGCCTGAACCGCACTTCACCGTAGTGGTGATCTTCGACGGGAGGAAGTCAGAGAGGGACTCAAACATCGTGGCATTCCTGCAGGAGCTGACGGGATCGCTGAGGAACACCAAACCCTTCACCACACTCAAACCGGGCTCCAAGGGCTGAACTTCTTATTTATCAATATAGACTATTTTCACCATAAATGTAGTTTATTTTAAAAGGATGTTTACCTCGATATCAGTTGCTGTCGCTCTTTTATTCACTGCGCTGCTGAAACTCTTGTTGAATGTAATCCCTTTTATCCTTTTCCCTTAAAAGAGGTCCAAAAGCTTCATGATTCAAACAGTTTCAGACCAAAGACGAATATCACAGCTGTGGCTGTTTGTCTTGTTTTTTTTTAATGTGCTCACAAATGAGTTCTTTCAGCTCGTGGTCCAGCTCAGCAATTGGATTCGCTTTACCGAATGCGAAAGGGACCCACTGCAAAGAGTTCGACTTCCCCTTTTATTGTTAGTTTGCTGTGTAACACATTTTAATAGCCTTTGGTTTTAACGTTTTGACTTTTTTTGACCATTGTGTACATTTTCACTTGTGAAATAAAGTTTGGAATTGTGTATCATACTATAACTGTACTGAATTCTTTCTTTTAGGGAATAAAATTATAGTTATGAAAAAAAAATACTTTTTGAATTGCACATGCATTTCTTTGGATTGCAGTGACTAGCAAAATTGAATCTACTGAATTACGGCTTCAAATTCTTATTGATTCCAAGAGTCTTTTCAAATATTTCAATTGTCATTTAATGTGATATGTAGTACTGTTTGCATATTTGATCAAAATCCAGTAAAACAGTGATATTGTGAAACATTATTACGGTTTAAAATAGCTTATTTTTGTGATCAAAGCTGAATTTTCAGTCCTCAGTGTCACATGATCCTTCTGAAATCATTCCAATATGCTGATTTAGTGCTCAACAAACCAATCTCATATACATGTATATTTGTTTTAAACCGATACATTTTGTTTTGGATTATTTGATGAATAATAGCAAGTTCAAAAGAACATTTATTTGAAATAGAAATTTTTTGTAACATCATAAATGTCTTTACTGTCACTTTAAAGCATCCTTACTGAATAAAAATGTCTTTAAAAAAAACATTTCTTTTTAAAAAGTTGTACTGATCCCAAACTTTTAAATGATAGTGTAGATCAGAACAGAAAAGTATAGCGTTTTGTTTTCAAACATTCTGCACTTTTTAAAGTGCTTAGTCTAAAAAAAACCATTACCATATTGGTAATTCAGTGCAAAAAAAAAAAATTTGTTTACATTTTATTTCAGTGGTATAAACTGATTATTTTCTCGTTATGGTTCACTGCAACCCAATGAGATGCATAGGTCACAGCTCTACATGAGAGTTGACGTCTGTACTGAAAGACAGCAGAAAGGATATACCAGCTTGCATTTGAAAAATGGATGAAGATTAATATAAATCAAAACATTAAAGATTGATAGCTTTATACCCATAACTCAAGACCGAGAAAACCGGCTCGCAAAAACATCTGCAAATCCAAAACCACAGTGGGGTCCAAAAGTCTGAGACCACATTGAAAATCTGAACTCAAAATCTAATTCAAAATTAACAAATACATTCTGTGACGTAAAATGAATAAGAAATCTGGAAAACATGATTACCAGGTTTTACATCATGTCCATGCAGCTAAAGAAAAAGGAACAAACAAGATACAAATATATTATGATATTCACATTACATCGTCAATTCAACATGGAAAAAGTAGTATGTTACATTAGAATGCAAAATAAAACTAGTGGTCTTAGACTTTTGAACCCCACTGAATGTCTAATCTCTATCATTTTACCTCCACTTTAGAATCAGCCAGGTTGAACTGCATGATGGGAAATGATTCCTTGCTTAAAAGGCAGAAATAGTGTCCTCCACTCCTGGGTGAGCCATAAAAGCATCCTCCCTAAATGTTTAACGGCAAGACTGAAATAAGAGCATAGGTTCTTATTAGTGTACATGTGTACAAAACATGGATTCAGACAGACGGATTGTAACATTTAAAGGGACAGTACACCAAAAATCATTAACAAATCCACGTTTTGTGTTCTATAGAAGATTAGTTTGCTATATAATGAGGTAATAATGACAATTTTTTTAATTTTGGGTGTACTGTCTTTAAATTACATGTACAATGCTTTCTACTCACCGTTTAATTTTAGTATGAGCCATTCCATCACTAAACTGAAATATATCAATAAAAATATCAATTTTGAGACATATCAACTTTCCTTTATTTCAAAGACATTCAGTTTCGACACATTTTAAAATGCACTGGAACATGATTTAATGCTACATGCCAATACAGTCCTATACATGAAAGTGCGACATCACAATGGATTAAATGTACATATTTATTATTTGTTCAGGTTATTAAATATCTGGAAAGAGCTCTAGCGTTATTATTATTATTTAACTTGGGGAACGACTCTTCAGAGAGCGACGGGAGCACACACCCTTGGCAGACCAGGCTCCTGCATTCAACATGCATCCTGAAAGGCACTTTCATGTGAACACAGTGTGTGTGTGTGTGTGTTTGGGAGGGTGGGGCGATAATCTCAGATCGCTTGGAAAAGGACAAAAAAGTGGGTGTTGGATACGGCGACAAGCAGATGCGGTTGTATGAAAGAGCACCAGTAAGAAATGAAGGTAAAAAAAATAGAATGGGTAGAAAAACATAAGAGCAGCAGTCAAAAAAAAGTGGAAAAACAATCATCGCTAGTGTATAAAAAAGTGAACCAAGGCCGTTCGATCGTAAAACTACTCACTTCACCTTCATGCATATTTACACACAGGACTAAACACCCTCTCACACACACACACATTCACTCTCACACACACACACACACACACACACACACACACACACACAAACTTGCCTACAAGTGCAGTGCACTCTTTCTAACTCTCTTTCTTTCATTCACACACACACACACACACACACACACACACACACTCAAACACTTAAGTTGTCATGTACAAGCATGAATTATCCATCATCTAGTACTCTGAACTACTCTGAGCGCATTTTATCATGCAAAAACCCCCACACAGACACACACACACACACACACACACACACACACACACACACACTCAAACACTTAAGTTGTCATGTACAAGCATGAATTATCCATCATCTAGTACTCTGAACTACTCTGAGTGCATTTTATCATGCAAAAACCCCCACACAGACACACACAGGAGAGCCATGTATGGTTAGTGTGCTCCAAAGAGTCTGCCGTTGACGATATCGTACAAACACACGTACACTGGAAGCACAGGGGATGTTGAAAATGGAGGATCGAACACCGTTATCGTCCGTCAGTGGAGCAGCAGTGGAAATTGTACTTGACCCGAGGGAGGGCGTGGCCTATTTGCACAAACTTTCGTAATTTTCTTCGCAATCCTCCCCGGAATGTCTTTTTTGCACCTTCAGTGCAATGTTTTGCTAAAGCTTCGTTCGTGCATTTGCCCTCGGAATGTTACGGTTGTGTCCCTCCCACATCGTCCAATCAGGCTTCAGAGTTTGGTTTCCAAGGTAAAGGGGGAGGTTTATCTGGTGATCAAGGCTTAGCGTGGTATTTTTCGAGTGAAAACAGGAAAAAAAGTGGAACATTCATGGAATACATTCGGTGTTCTTTAGTCACCTTGCGGGAAAGGCTAAGTGAACGAAAAAACAAAAAAAAAACTAAATTACATTCCCCATCAAATTCCAACAAGTGAAATAACTATTTCCCAAGAGGCACCGGGAGTCCTGTAACTCGAATCAAAGCATCAAAAAAAGCAGCAGCAACTTATGTATTTTTCGAGTGAAAACAGGAAAAAAAGTGGAACATTCATGGAATACATTCGGTGTTCTTTAGTCACCTTGCGGGAAAGGCTAAGTGAACGAAAAAACAAAAAAAAACTAAATTACATTCCCCATCAAATTCCAACAAGTGAAATAACTATTTCCCAAGAGGCACCGGGAGTCCTGTAACTCGAATCAAAGCATCAAAAAAAGCAGCAGCAACTTATAAAAAAACGGCGTTTTCGACATCCCTCTTGTGGTAGTAAGGCCTAACAAATCAAAGCACTCAAAATACATTGCACCGACTCAATGGAACATTTCCCATAAAACAACAACGTTACTTCCTGTACAGGCAGTCTCTCTCCGCTGTCTCTGAATGTGTTCCTTGTAAATGTATCTATACACAGACACGGTAAAGTCCTATTCACTTTGAGAATGCACACACACACACACCACCCTGACAACACATTTATAGATATAATATCGTAGACTAATGCTATCAGACCGTTCTGCGCATAAACTAGCTATCGGCCGTGCAATCATGTCATTATTAAGAAATTAACCCTGTTCTTCGAGCAGTCGTCGAGTCTTAAACCCTGTTTCCTTCGGTTGGACCCATTGGCTTACATAGTGCCGGATTTGTCGCCGCTGAAACTCGAGGGCAGATTCTGGGGCTGCTGGGAAGGCGGGGGGTTGGCTTTGGGGAGAATAGGCGGTTTGGGCCGCAAAGCGGGTGGGCGGAGCATCACGCCCATGCGGGGCGAGGCCACGGGTTTGAAGGTGGCAACGGGGTTGACTAATGCTATCAGACCGTTCTGCGCATAAACTAGCTATCGGCCGTGCAATCATGTCATTATTAAGAGATTAACCCTGTTCTTCGAGCAGTCGTCGAGTCTTAAACCCTGTTTCCTTCGGTTGGACCCATTGGCTTACATAGTGCCGGATTTGTCGCCGCTAAAACTCGAGGGCAGATTCTGGGGCTGCTGGGAAGGCGGGGGGTTGGCTTTGGGGAGAATAGGCGGTTTGGGCCGCAAAGCGGGTGGGCGGAGCATCACGCCCATGCGGGGCGAGGCCACGGGTTTGAAGGTGGCAACGGGGTCATTGGAGCGCCGGGACGAAGGGCCGGGCAGCGGAGGGAGAGGAGGAAGGGGGCTGATAGGGCTGAGGGGGCTCGGGGAATCTGACGGGCTGGACAAGCTGGAGGGGGTGGAGCCGGATGGGCAAGACGGGCTGCTCTTCACCTGCTCCAGGGTGTCCAGCACCAGGTCAGGAGTCGCGGATTTCCCATTCTGCCTTTCTAGCTCGCGCAGCTCGTTCAAGGCCAGACTCATGGTTTCCTCTAAATCCTGTAGAGAGAGAGAGAGAGCGCGTTAATTGTACGAGTATTACTAACACGACACGTTGTGTTATTTGAGCAAATCTCACAAAACCTGTCATAGACATTTCTGGGTCATAATGCACAGCAAATTTAAAGAAAACAAGTAATAAATTGTATTTTGGATAGAAAAAATAAATCCTATATTTTTTTTCAGTAAATACAATATAAATGTAATATATAAATTATAATAATATCTAAAATATTTACAATTATTATATTGTGAATTTACTGATTATTAATTGTATTTAATATTTTAGAAAATTACACTTTTTTACAAAAAATAATAAAATATAAACTGATTATACATTTAATAAAAGTATGAAATGTAAACATTAAAAAATTATACATAGCTATTATAATATCTAACAACGTATCACCACTTATACTGGTAATTCGACGATTATCAATTTAGTCAAAATTATAAAATTAAAGTAAAAAAACAAAATAAATTGATTACACTTTAATACACAAATATACAATTACTATGATACAATTTCTGCCAAAATACCAAGTACTACAGACGTTAAGTGGGAATTAGTCACCACTGTTAAAAATAAAAATAAAATAAACATCTAAAAAAAAAATCACTTGTCAGATTGTGTATAATTTTTTTCATGGTTTTAAAGCGGCAATATTAAGTGGAAATTAGTCACCAAAATAAAATAAAATAATTCTTATATTGTGTAGAGGAGGTACCATATTGATTTGTGGTTTTACAGCAGTAACATTAAGTGGGAATTAGTCACCACTAATAAAAAAATAAAAAAATAAATATAACAAAAAAAATTAATAAAAAATCTTACATTGTTTAGAGGGGATACCAAAATTGATTTATTATGGGTTTGCATCAGCAACATTAAGTGGGAATGAATAAGCACAGTTATAAAAATAAAATGATAAAATATACATTCAATAAATGACTTCTCAGATTGTATAGAAGCAGCACCGTGATTTTGTCATGCTTTTAAAGCAGTAATATTAAGTGGAAATTAGTCACCACTGGAATAAACTGAACTAAAGTACAATAAATACATAAATAAATAATACACACATAATTTGTTTTAATTAAATTAAAATAATATTCTTACATTGTGTAGATGAGGTACCATATTGATTTGTTTTTACAGCAGAAATATTAATTGGGAATTAGTCACCACTGAAATAAAATAAAATAAATAAAAAAATGAAATAAAATAAAATAAAATGTGACATCTCAAACTGTGAAAAGGAGATACCATATTAATTTACTATGGTTTTACAGCAGTAACATTAACTGTAAATGTGGTATTTTGGTGGAAAATGTTTGCTATGATATTCTTTTTTTTTTTTTTATCTTATCTTGTTGCCTTGAATATGTAGATGAAGCGTGTGAACTCACTCCTGCAGGGTTTTCGTCCAGGATATCCCTGTACTTGGCCGCATTCATCTTTCCCTCGATTGCAACCAGTCGTCCTGTCCCTGCAGCTGAAAAACACCCCCACAGCATGATGCTGCCACCACCATGCTTCACTGTTGGGACTGTATTGGACAGGTGATGAGCAGTGCCTGGTTTTCTCCACGTATACCGCTTAGAATTAAGGCCAAAAAGTTCTCATCAGACCAGAGAATCTTATTTCTTACCATCTTGGAGTCCTCCATGCGGGCTTTCATGTGTCTTGCACTGAGGAGAGGCTTCCGTCGGGCCACTCTGCCATAAAGCCCCGACTGGTGGGGGGCTGCAGTGGTGGTTGACTTTCTACAACTTTCTCCCATCTCCCGACTGGATCTCTGGAGCTCAGCCACAGTGATCTTTGTGTTCTTCTTTACCTCTCTCACCAAGGCTCTTCTCCCTCGATAGCTCAGTTTGGCCGGACGGCCCGCTCTAGGAAGGGTTCTGGTCGTCCCAAACGTCTTCCATTTAAGGATTATGGAGGCCACTGTGCTCTTGGGAACCTTAAGTGCAGCAGAAATTTTTTTGTAACCTTGGTCAGATCTGTGCCTTGCCACAATTCTGTTTCTGAGCTCTTCAGGCAGTTCCTTTTGACCTCATGATTCTCATTTGCTCTGACATGCACTGTGAGCTGTAAGGTCTTATATAGACAGGTGTGTGGCTTTCCTAATCAAGTCCAATCAGTATAATCAAACACAGCTGGACTCAAATGAAGTTGTAGAACCATCTCAAGGATGATCAGAAGAAATGGACAGCACCTGAGTTAAATATATGAGTGTCACAGCAAAGGGTCTGAATACTTAGGACCATGTGATATTTCAGTTTTTCTTTTTTAATAAATCTGCAAAAATGTCAACAGTTCTGTGTTTTTCTGTCAATATGGGGTGCTTTGTGTACATTAATGAGGAAAAAAAATTAACTTAAATGATTTTAGCAAATGGCTGCAATATAACAAAGAGTGAAAAATTTAAGGGGGTCTGAATACTTTCCGTACCCACTGTATAACCAAATCAGCTGCTGGTAGCCATTGACTTCCATTGTACAGAAAAATACAATGCAAGTCAATTGCTATAGCAATTGCTTGGTTACTAACATTCTTCGAAATATCTTCTTTTGTGTTCAACAGAAGAAAAAAAACTCAGGTTTGGAATAACTTGAGGGTAAGTAAACAATGACAATTTTCATTTTTGTGTGAACTAGACCTTTAAAATTATTTTATTAATGTAATTTTACTTCTATGTATTTACTATGATAGACTTTCTGCCACTGAATAAAAAAAAATTAAATAAAAAAAGGTAACCGACTTTTTATCTCACAATTCTGACTTTATAACTCACAATTGTGAGTTTATATTATGCAATTCTGAGAGAGAAAAAAAACAGAATTGCGAGTTTTTATTGCATTACAATTATGAGAAAAATCAGTCAGAAAGTCAAAATGATTTAGTCAGTAAACTCACAATTGCGAGAAAAAAAGTATTTTTTTATTCAGTGGTGAAAATGGGCTTCCATAATTTACAATATGCACTTAAATAAAAAAAGGTTAACTTTTCTCCAGTCAATAATTAAATAAAATTTTGCAGTGAAATTAAAAATTGGAAATTTACTTGAAAGCAATAATTTGTTCATTGTGTTTTTAACACAAGGGCACACTATTATTCAAAAGTTATTTTTTCCAGCCTTTTTGAAAGAAATTAATACTTTTATTCAGCTGGGACACTTTAAACTGACCAAAAGTGACAGTAAAGACATTTATAATAGTACTACATGATATTATGGTGATAATGCTGTTCTTTTGAATTTTTATTCATCAAAAAATCCTGAAAAAAGCATCATGGTTTTCATTAAAATATTATGAAGTACAACTGCTTTCAACATAGACTACAATAAAAAAATGTCTCTTGAGCACCAAATCAGCATATTAGAATGATTTCTGAAGTATGTGACACTGAGTATTGGCTATATTCAGCTTTGTCATCACATAAATAAATTACATTTTACAATATATAAAAATAGAAAACTAATAATAGAAATACTGTAATATTTCACAATATTATTATTTTTACTCCAATATTGATCAAATAAATTAGTATTATTACGTACAACCAAGCTAATAGTACAATAGTATGTTGTACTTTTTGTTTTGTGACAATCACACACTGTACTCAGGAATTGGTTCGCAGTCTTCTAGAGAAGCGAGGATTTAGGAATATCCCGCACACACATCCGTACACCCCTCGGTCTCTACAGTCGAAGCTCACTGCAGTAATACAGCGTTCATCAGCACTTCTGCTCGGTCCTTCACATGCTGAGAGCTACAGGAAACAGCTGGCCTGCCAACAACCAGCGATAAACAACCACACACTGACTGAGAAGATGGAAACAATATGTATGAATGCGTCTGGAGCTGTGAAGGAGAGCGCTGGTGTGCATATAGAATACCTGACGACAAAGAGAGAAGGAACGAGAGAAGGGGAAAGGAGAAATGGAGAAGGTGTGTACGCCTGTCATCTCATTCGTTATCCTCAGTGGGGGAACTGCAGCTGCCGAGGTGCTCATTCAAGGGGAAGGGATTGTGTGTGTGTGTGTCTCACCTCTTCATTTTCGATCTTCAGTGTGGAGAGGCGCGACTGCAGCTGCTGGAATCGGAGGAGGAGCTCGGCTTGCACCTGCGGCAGTGCTGTGATTTGACTCACCTGAAATATCAACATGCATAAATACACATATTACAGAAACCGCTCAGCAGAACAAACAAATCATTTGATCGTATTTATTATTATAGTGGCCTTTTTTGCCATTATCAAGGACATGGATAGTAAAAAAGGACAGGAAATGATAGCGTGGTGTTGGATAAAATATGTTGTGAGCCAGACTTGAATTTGCATTGCCCATGTGACCACCCAGGCTCTGCATATCAGAGCATGCATGATAACTAAAAGGTCACAGTTTTGACTAAATTTGACATAAAAATTCTGTGTGAAATTGGATAATGTGTCAGTTAACAAGCTCAACCATATATATCGATATAGGTATGTTTTGTTCTCAACACGAGGTTAAAATTAATATCTTTGTATAAAAATTAGTGTAGGTTTTTAGATGCCGTAAGTGGTCACCACTTTTAAATCACCTTTTTGGCTTCATGAATTAATTTTAAATGGTGTGACAAATTCATTTTTTTTTTTTAAATGATGAATAATCCATTTGGCCACAATTATTATGAGGTCATTAAACTGCATGTGCAATAATTATAATACAATTGGAAAATGCTTTTTAAAACAGTTTTAGGAAGACAGTTAGACTCCCATATGCTTCATTTACACAAATAAGCAAAGTGTTAGCTTATTTATGCTTATTAATGCTGAAAATCTCTCTATTATGTGAAGGCACATCACGCAGGAATAAAAATGGAAGTATTTCCACATTAACATTGTAAGTTAAATTAATAGTCTGAGGCAAAATTCTCCATCTTCCTAAATTAAAAGCATTGTAATTACTTCTTCGGAGGTCATGATTCCCAATTAGAACTGAATGTTTTAGTTAAGAATTTGAGTTTAGTTTTTGATGACAAAATATGACAATGTTTATAAAGTATTACGATTGTATTTTTCTTCATTTTTGACCCCATTTATATAATCCCACAGTTCACAATCTAGTCAAGCACAGGACAATTTCAAACTTTACATAAAAAAATTAATAAAAAAACAATTTTATGTTTTTAGATAAAATAATTTTCTTTTTTGCTGTCCAGCCAAATTATGAAGCTATGATAGTAAAACTCACTAGCACAAATTAATTCCTTTCCTACACAGAAGTCAATGTACTGTAAATGACATGTATATATGCAGTTTGGACACTAGGTGGCATGTGACCTGGTCTGCCATGTGTGGCTGAAAGGAGAAGCGTGCAGGAGGGGTGAACGCTGTAGGGTGAGTCTCCATAAAGCGCTGCCGGTCATTACTGGGGTCCAACCCCTCCACAGCCCCCTCCAAAATATCCAGGCCCTCGTGCCGAGAGGTTTCCAGGCTGTATTCTGCTGACAAGTAGGTGCGCAATGCCCGGCTCAGGCCTGCATGGTAGCCAAGGTCACAACACTGTTAAAACACAAACACACACACTCGATTTTAATGGAGAAGAGAACATGAATAGTGTGGATTTGTGTGGAGCTGTCAGTCAAACCCGATTACGACGGATGAACCATTGCTTTAAAGCATCTAAAAATTATCCTCCAGGGCTTGTGTTCTCAGGGTTAATTTGAAGGGTTTTTCATCCAGGCTTTTACTGTATCTCACTTCCCACCCCCACACAATCTCTCTCTCCCTCTTTTACCCACCCACGTACACAAATTCTCCTGCTGTCTTTATCTCAGTGTGAGCAGGTTTGACCTCTGTGAAGGTCAAAGAGACGCAGCGCTGCGATCGGCCAGATACTGCTGACCACCATCAGCCTGCTGCAAACTCTAACGAGCAAAACAACAGACACAGCAAACCCAGTGTGAGAAATGGCTCCTCTCTTTACCATTGAGGAAACTCCTGGTCTCACTGGAAACTAGATTAAAAGTGTGCACGATATTTAATAGGATCTTACAGGACTTTGTGTGTGGAAAGTAGGTAGTATACAGTATGTGTTCTGTGCACAGTATGCACTTTTAATGATGAATTACTACAGCTGTACGTATCAGTGTGCAACCATAGTACACTTCATAGGACACTCGATGCACAATGCAATGCACACAACTTCACCTTCCATCTTCAATGTGATGACAGACAGACAGACAGACAAACTGATGATAGACAGAATAACAGATAGATGATAGAAAGAAAGAATGACAGGCAGGATGATAGATAGAATGATAGACAGACAGAAGAGCAATAGAATGATAGACAGAAATAGAACAAATTTAGGACAGTATATACTGTGCAGTAGGCAGGAACAAGCGTGCTAGTATTCCATTCTAAACATGGCCTGTTTCAGAATGTGCTAATGTGTGCTTGTAATTAAAGGCTTAATCTCCATCCCGTCCTGCCTGTTACAGGGTGCGTTTGTCTCTAATTAAAGGCAGTGGAGGCTGCTTTAATTAGTGATTATTAATCAGGACTATAATTCATTACTGTGCTTGGTGAAAAAGCAAATAAATGCAACCATAACACCATGCCCTTCATGCAGTGGCAATTTCCTGCCGTGGACTCACAATCTGTGCATTACAGTACACAGCCCTAATCAGATACTCACAGCAATGAAAAAGTTGTCTCGTCTGAATCAGGAGAGAAATATGCACAAATTAAGCAATGTTAAAAAGCAAAAAAAATCCAAAACAGTTCTTAAACAAATATGCTTTTGGATTTTGATGTGAGAGGACAACAGAGCATGGACTTTTCCACTGGAGGAAGTGTTATTATGGATTATGGTGCATATTTTGGCCAGAAGCAAAGGTTTAAACAATTTAATAATAGATTTTTTTTTCATACAAACATTAGCTTTTTGCATCACAAGATTTACTTGATGGACTGGAGTTGTGTGGATTACTTGCAGATTATTGTGATGTTTTTATCAGCTGTTTGGACTCATTCCGACGGCACCCATTCACTGCACAGGAGCCATTGGGGAGCAAGTGATTTTTGGACACACCCGACTGCCAAAAAACATCCCTCGCTACAAGCTAAATCATGCATCATGCGTCCTGGTCTGCTTCTAAACTCTGATGTAAATCCTTCTCAACAGGGACACAAAACTGCTTACATGAGTGCTGCAGTGAGGTGGAAACTTCCTGAACTTTGAGTACTTTGGTTCAGAGAATTCATCTAATTTTTAGGGTGCATTCCTCATGTTAGAGGTAAGCTCAGCTGACAGACTTAATGTGCGCTCCGTGTTTTTGTTTTATCAAGGTTATTTATGCAAGAGCTGCTGGCTTTTAAGACTTCAGTCCTGTCAGACAAGCTCACATTCAGGTCAAATATTCACAACTGCACATAACAACAATTACAGGCGAATCAAATGTCTGTCAACAGGAAAAGTTCCCACCCAGCTTAAAGTCAGCATTAAAATGGAAAAGACTCATCCATGCATGCGTCTCTTTTTTGTCATGTATTTTTTTGTCATTTCAAATCTGCCACCTTTCCTTTTTTGCATACTTTTTGGGCCAATCAACTGAGCTGTACAGGTAAACGTCATGTGACTGGTTTTTCTAAGGCTGCATGAGAAGATAGTTATTAACGAATGGTTTGGGACTGTACTGTACTGGACTGGACTGTACTGTGGTACCATCACATCAAAGACAGAAGTTGTCAAAATTTCTATGTCCATTTCATGCTGGTCTTTTCAGCAACTATAGAATTGTGTAAAATAAACAGCTGCAGATGTTGCAGACAAAAGGAAAACTGCTATCACGAAGCAAAAAGCAATGCAGAAATGTTGGAACTAGTAAATGAAAGACAGATGAAAGCTATAGAGTTGAGTTCTGGAAGAAGAGAAGTGAGAGACTGAGAGTGTCGGTGATGGAGGAGCAAATTACATATTGATGGAATGATAAGATGAGAGAGAGAAAAGCACCAGCAAAGTGATGGGATGAAGAAGTAATCCAAAAAGAGATTGAACAGATGATGAGAGAGAATGAGACAAGCTCACCGTGTAGAGTTCGTTAAGAATCTTCATCAGGTCTTCTTGCAGCTGGAAAATGATCTCTTTGCTCTGTGGGCCAAAAAAAAAATGGACAGAGAGTAAGGGCTGAGCTGGGTCAAACTCAAATATACAGCCAAGAATTGCAGTCCTCACTTTGTCAATTCGGAACTAACACTATAGATCAAAACAACTCAAATATCCACTTAAGTTGCTTTACTTCTTTGACCAGTCGTGTTAGGCAGTACCTTCTTGACCTGACCTTTTGGGTCCTTCAGATGCACTGACCAAGTCACATTTTTTCTTTAGAGTGTCACAAGTGAATTTTAGAAGAGCTTTTTTTGACTAGATTTAATCATTTATTAAAAATGCTTTAAAAAAAATACTATTTATTTATTTATTTTAAAGAAAATATATATTAGGCATAGGTATTTGCATTCCATTCTTTGATTATTTTAATTGTTTTATTTTTAATTATTTTATTGTTTTATTTAATTTAGATTTAATCATTTATTAAAAATGCTTTAAAAAAAATACTATTTATTTATTTATTTATTTTAAAGAAAATATATATTAGGCATAGGTATTTGCATTCCATTCTTTGATTATTTTAATTGTTTTATTTGTAATTATTTTATTGTTTTATTTAATTTAACACACATATACACACACATGTATATATATATATATAGCAATAAAATAGTTTTAGGAAGTAAGAGACCGTCCAATAAGTCCCAAAATGGTGTAACAGTTTAAAACCACAGGAAACCAGCATGAATACAAAGATGACATTTACACAAACTTGCACATTTGAATCTAGTTTTTTTCTGTATCTTAGTATCTGTATCTGCATCTCCTGTATTCTGTATCTTACACTCTTATTTGTCATTGACTCTTCTACTATTGTTATTACATTAGTGCTGATCTACTAAAGTGTTATAAGTTAGCTTCCTATAAATAAACCACCACTGCATTGGATTCTACAGACAATGAATGCTGAATTCACATAAAATAAAACCACAGCCATGCACACAATCTGAGAAAGCTGAGTTTAAGAGTCTGATTAATTATACTGAAGAAATTCAAACGAACCGCTCAAAAAACAATTCTAACACCACTGTACTAGAGAGTAAAACGTTGTTCACATTTTAATTATCCAAAGGAGAAATGTGCTTCAAATATCAAGAGGTTTTGTCTCCCACCAGCTGACTGAAAGCGACACGATTTTTAACGCATGCATGTTTTTTCCAGCTTTCACTTTGATGTAATTATACGTGCATCCCATCACATTATAGTAGTGACAGGAACGACCTTGCCAGCTGACCTGTGTTTGACCTCACCTTCTTGAGCAGACGCATGTTGTCCTCGCTGACATGCGTGAAGCGTGTGATGACGTTGTTGAGGTAAAGGTCGCTGAGTGTGGCGTGGTCCTTACTCTCCCTCCTCACTTGGTTCAGCAGCAGATACCAGCAGTTGACGGGAGAAAGCAGGTTCTGGTCCTTCCTGAAAGCCACGGAAAAGTGGGCTTTAAATACGTAGATGGAAAAAGTACTACACAATACATATACAAGAAAAGAAAGCTCTTACTAACAGTTTGCCAGTTGCATTTGATTTATTTTATTCATTTAAGGTTTAAATCAAAATATAGAACCTCTAATTATATATATTTTTTGTTCATGCAATATATAAAGGTTTTCTGAAATATTTGCTTAAAATGTGCTCGTTTCTCAAAACAATACATGCTACTGATTTGACAACTTGTGATATAAAACAACATTCATACATTAAGTGATCTAAATGTAAAACAGTCATTGTATATATAATGTCAAGCTTAAAATCACAATCTCTCAAAGTGAATATCTTCATCTCTGCTGTAGGACTCTCTGGGTGGCCCTGGATTTGCTGTACATGCTGTTTTTGTGAGTGCTGCTCTGTGGCTTTTATCAAGTAGTCATCCAAATCCACTAATGGACCATTTTGTATTTATCCTGAAGAAATGCTGAGACTTTGGTGAAGATTTCAACTGCAGTTCACTGAATTGCCTGGATGAGGATGTTAAGGAAATGTTCTACAGCCTATAAAATCTCTATAGATGACTCCCAGTTGAACGCACTCATAAAATCTTCATAATAAATGACTCATTAGTGAATATATCAACATACAAACCACTGACGACAAGTTAATGCTCTCATGTAAAAATGATATTCCTCACTTCACTTTTCCATAATATATTTGATGCATGAATTCACAAACAGCCTCTAAAAGTATTTCAACTCATAACGCACACTAAAATGTCTGAATATATGTGTATTAAACAAGAAAATATCTGGCCAAGGGGCATTTTCAATACGGCATAAAAATAAAAATAAAACATTAAAAAGCATTTGCTTTGCAAAAAATTAAGCAGAAAAAAATTAGTGCAGATCTTTGTTTTTTCTTGGAAAAATGCACCCTGAGTTGCTAAAGTGCAGTATTTCATCCTTTTAAAAATAAGTTATTAAAATATTGTTAATAAATAATTAAGAGTTTAAAAAAAATTATGCTCACATTTTATTAAAGATACACTAAAAACAGTAATATTGCTAAATATTTTTACAATTCAAAATAACCATTTTCTATTTTAATATTTTAAAGTAATTTCTTCCTGTGATGGTAAAGCTGAATTTTCAGCATCATTATCAGTCACATTATCCTTCAGAAATCTTTCTAATATGCTGATTTACTGCTCAAGAAACATGATTATTAGCAATGTTACAAACAATTGTACTGCTTAATATTTTTGTGAAACAAGGTCATTTTTTCAGGATTCGTTGATTGATCAAAAATGTGAAAGAACGGCATTTCTTTTAAATTAAAATCTGTAACATTACAAAAACATCTATAACGTCATAAATGTCCACTATCACTTTTGACCAATTTTATGCATCCTTGCTGAATAAAAGTATTTAAAAACTGACCCCATACTTTTGGATAACTAAATGTTTTAAACTGATTACTGCCAAAAACTGCATTGCACTGCTGTCTGTGCAAATTGCTCATTTGTTCTGAGAGTGAAGGTGGTTTAACCACCTGCCAACGTGAAGGTAAAAGACGCCATTTTGTTTCACACACTTGATCTTCTATATTAGTAATGGCTGTTGCAAAAAGACAATGTGAAGCCATTTTGGACCAAAGAGGCGAATGTCTTCAGCAGCCAGTGACTAATCACAAAGCTCAGCAGGCGTCCGGATGGGACAGTCCCATGAGGACCAGCACACCATCAGTGCCCAGCACGAGGAAAAAAAACTGCAACAGAAGAGAAACTGTGAAACTCCCTCTCTCGCTCTCCCATCTCTCTATTTTCCCAGCAGAATGCTATCTGCATTAATGAGACAGCAAATACACACAGATGCCCACACACACACACACACACACACACACACACACACACACACACACACACAAGAACAATAACTACAGCAATCGCCTCTCCTCTGCCATCTCTGATTTTTCAAGCATGAAGCTGCAGAGCATCATGGGTAAAGTATTCCAGACGTCGCCCTAATCCACCGCAAACCACAGTCGAACACAACAGGGAGGGAGAAATTAATTGGAGGTGAACGAAAGGAATGGAAATAAGCACGTGAACCAAACGATTCGCCACTGATTCGTTTCTAGAAAATGACTCTTGAATCATTCATGTGCATTCACATTCTGTCTCTCTCTCTCTCTCTCTCTCTCTCTGTCACACACACTTATAACTTCACTCACTTGTATTGTTGGTGGTCCTTGGTGCTGCGGGTTTTGGCCATGAATCGTTCGGCGAGCTTCTCCAAGTTGCGTGAATATTCGCTCTCGATCTCGGCTTTCTTCCTGAAGAAATCCTGCAGGTCCTGGAGGAGCTGAACCCGCATGTCCGTCTGCTGCTCCAGACATTTCTGCTGCTCCACTAACTGAGACCGTATCTCTGCTCACACACACAAAGTTATGTTAGCTTATTAACAACAGCCATTTCAAACGACAGTGTTTCATTCTTAATGTCAGCTGCATGTAACTGACATCACATGACACGTTCGGGAGCAACTTGAACACAAAGTGGGCACTGATGGGTGAAGTTGTGTTCCCTGAACCAGAGATTTTCCTCCTAACAAGCCGGTCTGGATTCTTCCTTAACAACACACTGGTTATCACACTCACTGCCGTTGCCAAGACAACAGGTAATGAAGTGGAGTATCCCATGGGGATTAGTGTGTGTGTTTAATGGGAGGATGAATTCAAACTCCACACTCATTTTCCTTATAGGAATAGTTCAGTCAGAATTTAAATGTTTGCATTTACTGTACTTATCGTCGTGCCGCTCCAATCTCATTGCAGTTTCCGTACAAAGGCAGTATATAGTGACTCGCTTTCAGCTTTTTAAAACAGCTGCAAATGTATCATAAAAGTAGTTCAGACTCATGCGTTTAACATCTAATTCTTATGAAAAACTAGACAAGAGAATATCGGAAAGTACCATTTATTTTCAAGACAGCACAAATACACCCCAATAAAATAAAAAATATGAAACTATAAAGACAACAGAAAACACTGTTTAAAATTAAGGCAGCAAATATAAACTGCATATAAGTTTAGGGCCATTAAAATACCAAGGCTGCCTATAATTAAACATATAGTATTGAAATATTACAATAAAAAAAAAAAACCTTTATATTTTAATATTTTTTAAATGCAATTTATTCCCGTGTTGGCAAAGTCGAATTTTCAGAAGCCATTCTCCATTCAAACATAATAAATTATTATAATTATAATCAAAATCTGAAGCAGTGTTATTTTAGAATTATGTATATACTAAAATAGGTTTATGAATATTTTGAATTAGCTTTTATTTTTAAGTTATTTTCATTTTAGCTTAATAGATATGTGGGGGCGTGTTAGAATGAGCCGTTTTAGGTAGGTGTGGCTGACTCTTAACTTTTATAAAGAATATCTCTTTGGATTTGAGACTTTAGTCTTTGCAACTTTACAGATCTTCTTTATGCACCAAGAGCTTGTAACACTCCAAAGAGAAAGGAAAAACTGAAATTGCATCATAAGACCCCTTTAAGAATCGTTACATGTCAAAATACCACAATTTTTTCTGCTGGAATATAAACTTTGCCTTTAAGTTAAAAGAGCCAGACGGCTTTTTGATAGAGGCTTTGCCTGTTTGTATAATTGTGAATGTAAATCAACTGAACAAATCTGGGGGGACAAGAATCATTAAATGATATTAAATGAGTGCAGCTCCAAAATATGAATTAACTGTACATGCCATTTTAAATCCTTACCAATCTTTGCTACAATAATAATTAAAAAAATAATTAGGTATGATCACATATTCTTTTTTTATATTTTAATAAGTACAGGTCAGAATAAGCATGTTGTTTCATTTTTACGCTGAAGGATGATGGAACATTATTTCCACCCATATTTTTACACTTTATTTTTCACAAAAGTTATTTGAAACATTAAAGCAGACACATAACAATAGCATTTAATATGCCCTCTGTATATATAAAATCACTTTTTTAAATTTCATTTGATGCTGTCACCAAAATGGGATGTCTCATACATTCTATCTATCTATCTATCTATCTATCAATCTATCTATCCATCCAGCCACATATACACACACACTGATGGAGTGAATGTCTTCGCATAGTGTCAAGAAAAAGTCAGCATTAGCTAAGGCTTCATTCAGCACACAAGACACAACAAATGTAATCAAGCGCTCACGAATCCAAGGTCAGTAGATACGAACAGCTAAAGAGAACGTGTCAGTACTAAACAGACAGACAATGACTCAACACCAGACCAGAACTGTCATGCCATATTTAATTTGACACAAATGTAAATTAGGTTTTTAGGAAGCAACAGTCAAAACATTAAAAATGCAAAAATAAATTTTATCCACATGAATCAAAATATAGCGTTTACCCTGACTAAGCTCCATTAGGACATCTCTGTTGTCCTAAAACTTGAGATAAAATGCAAGCTTAGCTAACTACGCTTTCTGCTTTAAACCCAAGAGTAAAGTCAAAGACAGGCTTTAAGACCCACAATCCTTAGTAGTAAGTACTGCAGTATATGTTGTCCTCTCCTCTGAGGTCTTAAATAGATTACCGGATCGATATCTATACTTGATTAATGAGACTTACAGGGTTCCCGTTATAAATACATGCAGTGGGTGGCTGGGAAATCTGTCTGGTTTTGATACAAAGAAATCAGTTTTGACCAAATTAGCTATTTGTTCACTGTCTATTTTCAAAAAGAGGAAGTGAGGCCATATGCTGTATCCAATCATTATTTTGAAACATGACCAGGGCTGGATGGGTACATGAGGATGGGACGATATTACACACACAACTCACATTCACACACTCCTGCAAGCACACACACACGTTGTGGACATCTGGTCCTTGTCCTCCTCTCAGCATTCGCCATCGCCTTACTTGTGTTACAATACCACTTGTCCACACATACACGTTTACTTCGCTACCTAAATGAGGCGTTTCATAAGCTGCGTCTGAAATCGCATACTAAGTATGTACTGCATTTGATGAAGAATGCCCTTTTGACCATTAAGTGCATGTATGAATTTTGGTAGTATGGAAATAATCAGAACATACTACCCCATGTTTTAACTGTCATGTGACCTAGATATCATTCATGTTGCGGTTTTACAACATTCACAAACATTACAATTCCTCTCCTGTTTTCTTATGGGACAGTAAATTGTCAGATACATCAGGTACGACTATAAAATATTGCATACTGTTATGAATATACATTTGGACATGCTACTAATTGGGTGTACTGTTTTTTTATACATAATATAGTAGGTAAATATGCATATTCAGATACTGGAATAGACTTAAAATAGTTTTACATAATGCTAATTATAATGCAAAACAAAATAAAGCCAATACTGAATCTAAGAACATTTTCTGATATGATACACAAAGAGTGAAAAATGTAAGGGGGTCTGAATACTTTCCGTACCCACTGTACATATATATGTGTGTGTGTGTGAAGCTTTTAAAATAATTATATTTTTAAAATTACTTTTAAAATGATTATATTTATATTATTTTTATATGTATTTTTATTATTTTAACATTTATTATTATATTACATTATATTATATTTGAATTCTAATTTTATTTATGTTTAATTATATTTATTATAATTAATATTTGTTTAATTTTAATTATAGTTAAATACATATTTATTTACATTTTCCCCAGTTAAGAATGTCCCCAAATAACCCTAAAAGGAGAGGTAACAATTTTTTCCCTGAAAATATAAGTAATCACACACACACACACACACACACACACACACACACACCCTGCAATATATATAATCTTAAACACAGTTAAGTTGCAGGTTTGCAGGTCCATATAATCTAGTGTTTAAACAGAGCCGTTCCACACATAATCAAACGGCACCTTCATAAGAACAATCTTTAACTTTAAAAGAAGCAGGTAATTTCTCATTATTTCATATCGGAAAAACCCAAAGTTCATCATTTGTGTGAGGCAGTGACACGAACAAGAGGATGTGGGTGATCAAAACCGCTTTCTTCCTTCTGTATGACCATAAAAAAAAACATCATCAGTATCATTTGGCATTATTTCTATGAATGGCTGTTGAATTCTGGAAAATCTGCAGTGCAATGCTTCCCAAAGCCACTAGAAATGTTTCTTTAATCTGTACAGCCCGTTTTATGTCGCTTTGCATTCACTCTGAACATTTATTGTGAGATGTTTGGACTCTCACGGCTCCTTCTCTGGGACTCTGAACAAAGAGATGAAATGTCTTGTAGCGGAGTGAATCACCTGAGCTGCAATACATCTGATTCATACAGTCACTCTAGGCAGAGGAAGTACACCAGCGAGTCAGTCTGCGGCCTCGGACGATGATGTGTATCTGTGTGTTTGTGGCTTTGGACTGGACAGCAGCCAGAAGTGCAACCCGGGATCAAATCTCATGAAAATATAACAGGCTAAAACGCAGTATTATGGCAATGTTATGCTGTAAGATATCAATTCCTTTTCTGTCTTTCATTTTGTGGTTATAATCACACGTTGGAAAAGATTCAACCTTGCATGATAACATACTGTACGCATAATTCACACACACTAGCTATCACTGGATGACATGAGGATGGGGTTTACAATAGTGTTTCTAGTCGTATGCATGTAAAGCTTTTGTACAACACAAGCTCCCTTCAGGACTGAAAAAGTCACCCGCTCGTGAGCCGTTTCTTGCTGATGAAGCAAAAATATTTTGAGGAATGCGCATGCAACACACACACATACACCAATGTTTTCCACATTAAACTGACTCACTCTGAATCAGGGTTATTATAGTTAACTATAACCATAAAAACATTTGCGTTACTTGAAATAAGTAGCCTACTGAAACTATATAGATCAATATATAACTAGAAAGAAAAAAAAAACAATTTATTTCAGGTAGTTGCCAAGCAGAGTTATCGAATTTAACTCAAATTAAAACAAACTAAACCCATGAAAAAAAAAAAGATTACGTGAAATAAATGTTAATTGAAATAAAATAAAATCATTTAAGCTAGTTGCTAGGCTTTTAAACTAGGCTGATTCAAAGTATTAATAAAAGCTATAATTGTATCTCAATGATACTAAAATAATATATACATGTATATATGTATAATAATATAATAAAATAAAATACTATATACAGTGTGTGTATAAAATCTCTATAGTTTATATATAATCTAGTTTATATAAACTATTATATACACATTATATATAAACTAGATTATATATAATCTATAGAGGCATTGACAACACAACAGAATTACTAAACCTTTAAATATATTGTATAATAGTTTAATTTGTGTGTGTGTGTGTGTGTGTGTAGATGCAGATACAGTCAAGGTCATGTGCCTCTCTTTCCTTCTAACTTCCTCCCTTAGAGAAAACCATTTCCTGTTCGGACATTGACAAACTCGAGCATGTTGCCGAGGACATTATTTTTTCCACAGAACCTATTTTTTCGATTCTGATAAAAATTCAAGCAATCACATTTACACATCCGCGCTCACAGAACGCATTTAACTGCAACTATTTTAATCAATAAAAAGTAAATTAGGCACGTTTGAAAAGCAAACGAACGTGTGTCTGTAATATCGGAGAATAACAGCGCTGACCCTTATGACCGTAAATCACTAATCTGTCTCAATCCATCCTTAGTCACACTACTGTATGCCACACACATGGCCATACGTGCGGTCCATACTAAACAGCACTGCTGCGGCAGGAGGATTCCCTGATCTTGCTCCCTGACACACACACACACAGCCAGATACCCATCGCTTCCCCATTGGACATTCACACACACTGGTGGTTGAGTATCCATGGAAACATGTACAATGCAGCAAGAGCCTGTTGTCTGTTGAAAGCGGAGTATACCTTTGTGCATGTGCACACAAACCTACATTTGACATCGAGAGCCGTCCATATGTTCATCCATCTTAGCCACGCGTGCGCTAATGCAGCGGCCCCAATACTACACCGATCTATCAGCATGTTGCCTAGAGACCACCCTCACCCGGACCACCATTGGCCAATAGTAGCTGAGACAGCAACTCGGCTCCTTACATTTAAATATCAGCATTATGGAAAGCAAATCTATGCTTTTCTCATTCCAGCTTTTTTTCCAAAACATTTTTCCATTTTTGAGATCTAAACAAGCCATACAGCTTTGCCTGACTACAGTTGGAGTACTGGAGACAGGGGTTGCCATGAAGACCCCCCCCTTTCCATTTCATCGATTACACACTGTTAAACGAGAAATGAACGCCCTGCTGTTAGGGAAAACAAATGATGCAGGGTGGACTGTATATGTTATTATGTTGATAATGCATGTATTGAAAGAAAAGCAGCATGCATTTTCATAATTCCCTCACTTAAGACTCTCACTTCCTGCTGGAAATCCAGCTTAAGCTTTTTTTTAAACATTGTAGCTTGGTTCTAGCTAGTTCAAGGTGGTTATCAACTGGTGAAAAAGCCATCTAGAGCTGGTATGTGCAACTGATAGCTGGTTTTTAGCTGGTAGATATCTAGTCAAACAGATAACATATCCAAAAACGTAATCCCCTTGAGACCAGTAACCACATTACTTATACCATCTGGACCATCTTCAGCTTGTATGATCAGCTGACTGCTGGTTGACCTTGTTCCAAAAATCACCTTAACCACCAGCAGGTTGGTTTCAAGCTGGTAATAAGATGGCTGACCAGATACCATGTTGCAAATACCATCTTGACCAGCTGGTTATCGTCTCCTCAACTAGCTACCATGTTCCAAAACTAATTTTAACCACCTTAATCTAGTTGGTTTGTAACTAAGCTGTCTAACCAACTGCCATGTTACAAAAACCATCTTGACCAGCTGTTTATCATCTCATCAACCAGCCATCATGTTCCAAACTAATTTTAACCACCTTAATCTGGTTGGTTTCTAGCTAGCTATAAACTGGTTGACCAGCTGCCATGTTGCAAATACCATCTTGACCAGCTGGTTATCGTCTCGTCAACCAGATATTATGTTCCAAAACTAATTTTAACCACCTTAATCTGGTTGTTTTCTCACTAAGCTGTTTGACCAATTGCCATGTTACAAAAACCATCTTGACCAGCTGGTTATGATCTTGTCATCCAGCTACTATGTTCCAAGGTACCATGTTCCAACTCATCTTAATCACCTAAAGCTGGTTGGTTTCTAGCTAGTAATAAACTGGTTGATCAGCTGCCATGTAGCAAAAATCATCCTGACCAGCTGGCTGCTTATTTCTGGCTGGTTATTAGTTGGCTGATCAGCTGCAATGTTGCAAAAACCATCCTGACCAGCTGGTTATCATCTCTACATCCAGCTACAATGTTCCACAACTCATCTTAACCACATTAAGCAGGATGATGTCTAGCTAGTATTAAGCTGGTTGACCAGCTGCCATGTTGCAAAAAGGATCTCGACCAGTTGGTTATCATCTTGTTAACCAGCTATCGTGTTCCAAAATTCATTTTAACCACCTTAGTCTGGCTGGTTTCAAGCTAAGCTGGTTGACCAGCTGCCATGTTGTAAAAACCATCTTGACCAGTTGGTTATCATCTTGTAGACCAGCTACCATGTTCCAAAACTCATCTTAAACACGTTAAGCTGGATGACCAGCTGTCATGTTTCAAAAACCAACTTGACTAGCTGGTTGATTATTTGTAGCTGGTCAACCAGCTACCATAATCCAAAACCCATCAGAAAAACCTTAAGTGGACTAAAAGCCATACTGACCAACTGGTTGGTTTGTAGCTGGTAGTAAGACACTTTGCAAAAACCATCTTGACCAGTTGGCAGCTGGCTTCTAGCTAATCCAGCAGGGTCATTAGCTGGTTGACCAGTAACCATGTTCCAAAAACCATCTTGACCATTTTGAGTTGCTTGGTCAAAGATGGTTAACCAGCTTAAACCAGCAAAAGAATGCAAGAAACCATTTAACACATTTTAAAACACACCCACCAGCTTAACAATTTCCATCAGAACGATTTAATGTTTTGAGAATCAATTCACACAAAACAGGCAGCAATAATGCAAAGCCATTATGAAATATTATTTGGCCAACATGTTGTAAATTTAACGCATGCACAAGGTTCGTATCGTATTAGATGCATCAGACGAGAGTCCGTCTCCAGGTGCCCATCAGGTGCGAGAGTGTTCTTCTTACCTTTCACTTGGCTCTCATACTCCGTAATGATTTCCTTTTCCTTTTTGCTCTTCGTCGTGTTAGACATGACGCCTGTGAAGTCCAGATCCGCTTGTCCCTTCTGTCTAAAACCTTTCTGCTTCTCCGAGACGCGTCCCTACTGTGACCGATGCGTCATATCTAACCACAGGTTCAGTGAGTGATCCAGCAGCAGGAAACTGTAGTCCGTAAAGCAAAGCGATGACATTCAACCATGCACATCAACGATTATTGGACCTGCACGGAAAAAAGAGCAATGAAAAGTGGCACGTGAACCACAGGGGCGCGTCGTTACAGCCGCATCGCCAGACGCGCAAGAACGACTGGAGATCCAAGTGGCCGCATAAATATTACGTACAGGTGGAGTGCGCACGAGATAAACAAGAAAGATAGAGGTGGCAGAGACCGTAACTCATCTAAACTCATTCTAAGGTGTGAGAGTATCTGATTATGTATGCAAAAAAAATCGTTAGGTGTGCATGTTTCTCATGCGCGCTTTCTCACGACTGTCAATTGGTGGGCGGGTTGGGGCGTGAGTGTGTGTGTTTAAGACACAAAATTGATAGTCACTCTATTTTAGGAAACCTCTAATCCAGTTGTTCACTGTCCTGGTCCTTGAGAAGCCAAGCTCAGAACATTTTGGATAGTTCTTCATGTAACACACCTGATTTGTGTCATCGGCTTATTAGTAGAGACTACAAGACCTGAACTGGGTGTGTCAGATAACCGAGAAAGTCAAAATGCTGGAACTGTTGTACTTCAAGACCTAGACTGAGAACAACGGGACTAGATTTTAATACTTAACATGGTTTACAGGTTAATTGGTGGCATTTGGCGATGGAAACACGAAATACGATGCTATATTGGACCTAACCAAAAAGTGAAATTTACTTTTAATTTATTTCCGTTGAAATATTTTAATTTATATATATTTATATATTTCTAATATACTTTCACATATATTTATATATAGTTATAGTCAGTAATATATAAACATAGTGATAAATATAGCAAACGCCGCATTATAAATTCATGCATCACAAATTTATTATAAATAATACATATACACATATATATATATATATATATATATATATGTTTTGTTTAAACTTATTTAAATGGTTAGCTAGGGGCGCCAAACGATGACCCTCAACCGACTGCGCTAAAAACAAAATTCTAAAGGGAAATATTTTAGTCCAATCTCTGAAAGTCAATGAGCTATTCGCACACTGTCCAAATGTATTATTCAGTGCAAATGCATGATGCCAGCTTTGAGGTGAACGGAAACACCCAGAAGCCTATCTGTAGAAAGCGCCAGTCTGACTTCTGCTGGTGCAACTGTGCAACTACAGAACAGAGTAATAAATTACAATGAAAAGACTTCTCAATGACTCCCCCATTTTTCACTTAGACATAAGTGGTTGAAGGGGGTAGGAGGCGCTTTATGGGTCACTTATTCACCCTCACACGCGACAGCGTTGCGCAGAGTCTGCAGGGGGAGACAGAGAATACAAAATCAGGACAAATTCGGTGACACTGATCTCATGTCAGTTCACAGAGTAAACTGAGTTAAGGGAATACTTTGCCCAAAGTTTTGTCATTATTCTCTCTCTCTCTCTCACACACACACACACACACGTCTCATTGGCCTACATGGTAAAATAAGGTTAAAATATTCAGAAAGCATTAATGTATAGAACATGTCAGGGTCATATTTCACTCCAAATTTCTTTATTGTATTTATATATTTGTATATTTATTTATTTATTTATTTTCATGTTGACTTAGCAATTACAGTGCTGCAAGGAAAATCAGGACACAATTAAAATCAAAATAAAATCAGCCCAAATCAGTACCACAAATAGTACAATGATGTATAAATATGGATAGATAGATGTGTTTACAGTAATTGCCATTAAAAATGCAGGGAAAAAACACACAAAATTATGAACACATGAAATGATTCTTCTTCTTCTTCTTCTTTAATTTTGGGATGAAATATGGCCCAGACATGTCTTGTATAATTCAATTACTCAAGTAAAATATTGTTAATTTGAATGGAATTATTGTAAGAAATCTAAGCATTTGAATTGCAAACTGACTGCTATGTTTTTAAACCTAATTTACTTGCTCTCTTTCCAAAGAAAATGTATAACAACAATCTCATTACCGTTTCACATATATCACCAGGTAATGACATCGGTTACGTAAGATAATGTTGTGTGTGTGTGTGTGTGGTAATGTTTATGAGACTGAGGATATAGTGTCTCTCTTATGACACTGATACAATGTTTACTGTATATCTACTCAGTTATGAATTATTGAAGTCAACTGACATCACCAGAACAGGGAACAAGTGACATGACACACTCACACACATATACTGTAAGCCATGGCAGTTCAGGAAATGTATATCTGTTCCAATCACTGATCACGCCCTCACTCAAACGATGTGTTTATGAGCACTTAGATGTATTTTTAGACTTCTGAGGGTCATTTTAGATGATTTAATGGACTCTATATTACATTCCTGACTAATATTGCTAACCGTTTCTCTTGGGTATTATACAAAATGCTCGGTTCTACATACACAAGACATAAAATGGTCCTGTGGCCACTCCACTAACCCATGCTAAATTAAAACTGTACTTTTTCTATCATGCAAGGGCTAGTAAAGCTCCCGGGTATGTTTAATGGGGATCTAGTGTGTGTTCAAGTGTGTAAGTGACATCAGTGAGGGTATTTATATCTGCTTTCATTTAACCGTCAATCAAACACAGGCTTCAGGACTGAGCCGCTGTGCATGATCAGTATGTGCAACAAACACTTCAATATGTGCATTTGGAGTCTTAAAATGCATGGATATCATTGCATTAGATTCAAATTATTGAACCATGTTGCATTTACAGTAAATAAACACTTTTTTTCTAGATTTTAAAAAATCTATTCCCATGTCAAATGTTAGTGGAATATGTCTATAATTCATTTGATGAACTACTCTTCATCTTCACAAATTAAAGTCTTATTTGTTTGCAGTTGCCACTTGGTTTGATATTTCATGATGCAATGAAATTCATATATTTCAAGCTAAGCTCGAGTACGTCTCTGGATCCCATTCCAGGTCCATGTTGGAAAACTCCAAATGGATGAGAACATACAAATGGAGCAGATTGGATCAGTTATCTGTAAATCAAGAAGTTTCCTGTTAAAGCAAAATGCTCTCAACCTAAACACTATGTTTGGACATGGGAAAAACATGTTAAGCATCCAGTCAGTAATTACACTGCTCTCATTACAGACAAACAACGGACATAAACGTTTCCTCAAGTGCTGACTTTACCACAGTTTGTTGTCTTCTTTCTCTCCAGAATGCTCTGTTCCTGTCAGAAAGAGGCACTTAAAATGATGATGCCGATGATTTGATTTCTTCTTTGGTGCTTTTATTTGGTCTCTAAAGCGACAGGTTCACCCACTCACTGGCAGAACTGCCAATCGCATGTTGCTGCTGTGTATGAGTGCTGTCGAATGTCTGACATCTGCAATTCTGTGAACAAAATGGAAAAGGCTGATGAAATTTTAATGGAATCATTAAAAAAAATACTGTAATTTGCTCGCACACATTTCATTTCTACTTTATGCTTAAATTGCGTTTCGAAAATTTTAATTTGGTGCATAACCAAGGTTTGACGTCAATGACAGCAAACAACATCATTTTTTTGTGTCATAACCAGTGTAACACGTTAAGTTTGAATATGAATAATCACAAATTAAATATCATAAAATATGAGAAAATAAATACATTTTTATTCATTTAATATTTAAAAAATATTAAATCACATATAAATTATATATAATATAAAATTCATAATGTAGAAAAATATATATTATTTGTTATTTATGTATGTAAACACTTTAAAAGTTTGGGGTTGGTAAGATATATTTTAAAATGTTTTTAAAAAGAAGTCATGCTTAAACAGTTCAAATGTTGTGCTTAAGGTTACAATACAATACAATACAAAAATGCAGTAAAACGGTAATTTTGTGAAATATTATTACAATTTATTACAACAGTTTTCTATTTTAATTTACTTTACATTTTTATTTTAGTGATGGCAAAGCAGAATTTTTTTTTATCATTTATTACTCTAGTCTTCAGTGTCTCGTGATCCTTCAGAAATAATTTTAATAATTTTAGTCAATTTTGATCAATTTAATGCACCCTTGCTGAATAAAAGTGTTAATTTCCCTAAAAAACTAAACAAAAACATGTAAACGGAATATATGTATATACTGTACATATATTTGGTTTCGAACATCTCTCTTCAGACAGATAACTGATGATTGTAAAGGCAATTCAGGTCACTCAAACCGTGGATTTGATATTTCTTGTAGTAATTAAACACACAGCAGCCTTGCATTGAGCTGCCAGTCACAGCTCTCTGTCTGTCGTACCTTTGACCTCTGTGAAAGTTGTGTTGGGCTGCCCTACAGTAGAGTTTTATAAAGGTCAGACTAATATCATCAGCCTGACTGGCAGTAGTTCCACATCCCCTCTTTCACCAATTTCCAGCTGTGTAACCTCATGAACAATATCCCCTTTCCTAGCGGGCTGACTACAATTAAAGCCCACAGTCTTCAATCTCAGCTGCCATGACAACAGGGGCCAAGAAATCCCATAGCTCTGCAGGAAGGGGTCACTCCGTATCGCTGTTCTCATCACTGTGTCAAGATTTTGGCGACAGATTTCACAGGAATGCTTAATGAATTACATAAAATGCATCACATGAGGCAAAAAGAAAGATAAATATAATGAATTTCACAGAGTGCATTGAAAATGCAATTCGTTTTTTACCAGCAGAGGGTGCCAGGACGTTTTCAACATGATGAAGCCCTCAAACTAACAGACTGAAATAAATAAATAAATAAACTATTAAATAATTGCATTAAATGAATGTGGAAAAAGGAAGGCCACCCACATACAGTAGATGTGTCAGGTGACGAGGAAATTTAGAGAATCAGCTTCAGTCATTCAGGACATTCAAGTCTGATAACTCAATAAAGCAAAAGGGATAAAATGCAATTAAATATTACCTTTACAAAAACAAGGAAATAATAGCATAAACAGGATCAGTATTGACTAAAAATTATTCCACAGAAAGGTGGAACATCTTATAAAGGTGAGAAAATAAACCTTAGTTCTAGTTAAAAGATTTTTACATTATCTTTCACTGAAAGAGCGGCTCAGCAGGAAATTAAAGTGGAAAAGAGGGATAAAGTTGAGGGCCAAGGTCAAGGTTGTTGGTTTAGTGATAAAATAAATGAGCACAGCTCTATCTCACAGGAAGAAACTGAGAGAGACTCAAATCTCTCCTCAACAGGAAGGTCCAATTTACAACAGAAAATTGGTGCGCTTTGACATTAAATAAGTGATGTAACGTGGCCCTGATTTAAAAGTGGCTCTTCGAAATAACATTTTTGACTGGAGAAAAAAAGAAAAATGAGTTTAAAGTAATATATGCTCATGCCATAGAAAAATCGGCTAAAAAAAGCTGGTTATGTGTCAGTATCAATTGG